TGAGCTATGTAAGAAAGCGTGTACAGATCGTTGTTTGTAAGTGAAACGTGAGAGCTCGGGGGAAGTGAGGGACAGTTGGGATTTTACCTTCTTTGATCGCCCTGGATTTGTACTTATTTGCAGAAATGCAATCAAAATTCATCTGTCCGAGCATGCTTTTTCATGGGCTCATTGGCTGTGATTATGGCTGTGAACCAGTTATTTTCATATATCATTTTCAGAATCTATATGTATAGATCTTCACGGAGGGAGATCAAGAGGAAATTATTTTTGTATTTAGAAAATATTTTTAATTCAAATTTATTTTTTATGTTTCCAAATAGTTTTATATTAATAAAAATATTATTTTAATATATTTTCAAACAAAAATCCATATTAAAAAAAATCCTCTCTCTATCTCTAATACATGTCGCTGTCGCTAATTCAGCAGGAAAAACAAAAGCAAGAACATGTCCGTGGTAATAAATTAAGATTAAATACTAATATAAGATTTGAGCCTTTAATAAGAAGGAAGGTCATTTGGGTAACTAAACACTAAAGGGGGCATCCACCCGTTCATTTCTTTTCCCATCAATATAATATAATAATTTCTCTTTCCTTGTTGATTTCCTTCCTGTAAGCTTCAAATTTCTTTATTATCTTTTTTTTTCAAGGAAACTAGCATTCATGTGCCGTTCTGGTGGATTTCCCTTTGTTAAATATCGAGACTATCTATTTGACACGTGTCGTGTATAGGATTTTTTTAATACATGTTTTTATATAAAAACTTTAAATATAAATTAAAAATTTATACATGTATTAAGAATTATTTGGGTAAATGAATAAAAAAATTAATACATGTTATGTCTTGCATCGGATTTTTTTAATGTGCTTTTTTTATATAAAAATTTTTAGATATAAATTGAAAAGCTTGTACTTATATTAAAAATTATCTGTGTGAATAAAAGTTTGAAGATATAGATTGAAAAGCTTGTATATACATCTATTTAATTAAATTATTTATATAAATAAATTCTTCACAATAACTAAATAACTAAAAACAAGATTAAAATAATAAAAGATAAATATAAATTAAAATATTTAATTTTACAATACGAATTATGTACCAGATTATATTTAATAAATTTATTTATTAAAAAAATATATTAAATCAAATCATAATAGAAAGAGATGAGCATTGAATAAAAAAAATAAAAAAAAATAATGGCTAGAAGCATTAAACATGGGAAACTACCAAACCTAATCTCCAAACCAAACGCTTAATAATAAAAATTAATTATATAAAAATATTTAAAATAAAAATTATTATTAAAAAAATGAAGGTAAAAATTAAAATAAATTAGAGGAAACAACAAACTTCTTATTAAAGATTTAAATTAAAAATAAAAATAACTTTAATAATAAAAAACAAAAATCAAAGAATGAGGGTAAAACAAGAAAAAAAATATATCATAAATTTGGATTGAATGATAAAATCAAAAATAAAAAAAACCTTTACAATATGATCAAGAAAAAAAAATAAAAAATTAAAATTAAAATTAAATTAAAAGAAAAAAATATATGACAAATTAGAATTAAAGATCTAAATTGAAAATAAATAAAATTTATATAAAAAATTAAAATTAAAAATAATAAAAATTAAATTTCAAATAACAACAACAAATAAAATCAATTTATAACTTTTAGAAGATGAGAAAAAAAAACTCATAAATGAGAAATTAATAAACCACCATCGAGACACACCGTAATAAAATAAAATAAAAAACATAATGATTGTTCCATTAATAATACAAAATGATAGTTATGGCCATTAAAAAGCTGAAATGACCCGCTCAAAGAACATGACCACCTCTACACGCTAGCACAATAACAACACACACCAAAACATCTTGAATTTAGAATTAATTAGCCTTCCTGAAATAATCAAATTGTCTTTTATATATATAGATGTGTGTGTAAATTGGATTAAAAAGCCCTTAAACTGAGGACTTGATTTTATTAATTTTAAGGATAATTTTTTTATTATATTTTAAAAAATAAAAAAACTTTAATACCCTTAATAAAAAAAAATATTAAATTTTTTATACATAAAATTAATTAATCATCCTAAAAATAAAATTTTTTTTCCAGGGTTATCAGTGGTCAGTTTAGTCAAGAAAATGGGACCCATAATTATTCAGACCAAGGTATGAATATGGATAAATAATTTCTATTTAATTTAATTATAGAAAAACATGGGTCAACCAGTTCCCCACGCCTTAAGAGTGATAAAGATTAAAAAGGTAATATAATGAGAGGGTTATTAAAATTATAATTACAAAATATAGGCCTCGTAAATCATTAAAACAATTCATAGCAATCCATACACTTTTTTGTCAATTATAATTTTCTATGCTTAAATTAATGAATAAACTTTTATTTTCTTAAGAAGATAAAAAATCTCATTAAGGTATTTATAGGTTGTTATTTTGGTAAAGAAAATATATCAGGGTTGAGAAAGATTTTTTTTTTGTATTTGATTTTGTTTTGAAGCTACTTTTAAAACTTTTCAGGTTGAATAATTAATTTTAAAAAATTAAAAATATTTATTATATGTTTTTTAAAAAATAAATTTTTAGAAAAAATAAAAACCACCCTTACGGTGATTGAATTCCAAATAGGCATAAGATACATTGTCTATTGCTTCTTTTTTCTTTTCTTTTTTTGAAGATGGGGAGAATGACATCATCACCCCTTAATGAAAAAATAAAAATAAAAATCCATGCATTCAAGTCTGCCCAAGCTTGTGTGCTTCACCATTTCTTAAAGTCGAGAGATGTTAGGCCACTTAGGCTTGCGTTTTATTTTTATAATTATTTTATAATTTTATTATTTTAAATTATATTTTATAATTTTTTTTTTATATTTTATAAGTTTTTCATGTTTTTAAATAATCATCTTTATATTTATTGATGTTCAATATTGTGATATATATTTTATTATTATATAATTAAATAAAAATATTTTTAAAATAATAAAGTTATTAAATTTAGTAAAGTTCATTGAATTGCATATTAACTTAGTTAATTAAAAATTAAATTTTATAACTTATTTTAGTTTATTTTCTATGAAATTCTCACATTTTCTTTAAAATATCTTGACATTAAATTAGTGCTATTTTTGTTATTATATGTCTTAAAGCTCATATTAATTCAATATATTGGTGTCTTAATTTATTTTTAAATATTATCTTGATTTTTTAAAAATTAAACTATGTTATTAACAATCATTTAAATTATTTTTAGACCCATTAAATTTATCATATCATACCAAAGCAACCGTATTTAATTTAAATGGTTAAATGAAAGATCTTGTTAAGTTATTTCAAGGTTTACTTCCTATATTTAGTTTAATAATAATGCTCACAAATTTAAAAGCAGTGAAGACATTTCTTTTTATGTTTATTTTTTTTTAAGCTTCAATCACAAGCTTAATGCGGGCCGGTTAAACATGACCAATTTTTTTTAAAAAAGGAGTCCCTAAATTCAATAGCTCTGCTTTAGGCTGGACTTATGGTTTCCAGCTCTTGCTTCCTTCTCTACTTTTGGGCCAATCCATATTGCTTTCTATTCCTGGAAAATCTTGATTTACACATAAAACTTCTTTCCTAAACATTGCAAGTTTCTTCTCGACAGAAGCTTTGTAGATTATACTGTATGAAGAAATTCTGCAATGCCATTATTGCTATAAATGCATTGCAGAATTGAAGGTAGAGGCTTTTACAATAATAAAATTGATTTCAAGTAAATAAAATTCATATGGTTTCTCTTCCTAATCGAAAAACATCTCCTTCCATATCTAAAATTATGCTCAGAGAAATTGCTGCATTCCATTCTCAAAACTCCAGTACAGATATCTGAAAACTGTGATGTTATTACAGCTAACAAGAACTGGATTAGTTTCAAAGCTTTCATCATCATATACATCACATAAATATTGTGCTTTGATAGCAAGCATCTGCTTTTCCACCCTCATTATACTAGTTGGTGAGCAAAAGGAAGCTCTTTGGGATTTTGGTTTCCTGGCTCCTAAGTTTCCCAGCATTTTATTGCCGCAAAGGAAAAGAAAAAGGGTATCAGAAGAATATCTTTTCATTGCAAGCAGAGCATAATCCTCAACTCATGTGAAGCCTAAAGCAATGCTACAATATGTTAGTAATCCAGAAAGGTTGGACCAAAAACTAGTTAAACATGGTATTTGATATTGTGGAAGTAGTTGTTTTTTCAAAGTATATTTTACTTAAAAATATATCAAAATAAAATATTGTGCTTTGATAGCAAGCATCTGCTTTTCCACCCTCATTATACTAGTTGGTGAGCAAAAGGAAGCTCTTTGGGATTTTGGTTTCCTGGCTCCTAAGTTTCCCTGCATTTTATTGCCGCAAAGGAAAAGAAAAAGGGTATCAGAAGAATATCTTTTCATTGCAAGCAGAGCATAATCCTCAATTCATGTGAAGCCTAAAGCAATGCTACAATATGTTAGTAATCCAGAAAGGTTGGACCAAAAACTAGCTAAAGATAGTATTTGATATTGTGGTAGTAGTTGTTTTCAAAGTATATTTTACTTATAAATATATCAAAATATTTTTTTTTATTTTTAAAATTTTATTTTTTAATATCAGTACAAATCTATGCAAAAACTCTTAAAAAAAAAGACAAGTAGACATCTGACATCCATCATTTCTCACCGATCCTCCTTGAAAAAAAAATAATTTCTCTCAAATTTTAATGGACTTGCCGACCCAAAGAGCATCATTGTCGACAACAGGACCACATCATCAATCGACAAGATTTCAGGATAAATGGTCTTGTGGATGAGTCTTGACTTGTGGACCCTGTGTGTTGGCTGCACTACACTTTCAAGAATGGTTACTTGGTCCTTGTCAGAAACAACGAGGCTGTGAGATGTAACCAACAGTTTCAAGGTATAAAATGAATGCAGAAGTGATGGCACATCAGACGTGATAAATGAACAATATTATGTCTATTCATTATTTTTGCTTTTCTCAATACAAGAAAAGTCAATCATCACCTATATATCTTTACATAATATTGCTCACAGAAATGCTTAGACCTTGAACTCAGCAAAGAGAGCAACACAAGCTGTTCAAAACTTCATAGAGAATCATCTCGGAGTTCATGTAACCAACAACTAACTGCTATATTTACTTTCTTATGAGAAAGGAGAATCTGGATCGAATCCAATTTCCAAAGGTTTAGCCCCAGAATACCGGGAAACTTCTTGGTGGTAGCTCAGCAATCTATAGAAATGCAGGTTTCACCAGCCAAAGTGTTGTCAACTTTGTTAACGAATGGATTAATCTTGACCCAAACAAGAGAGAAGACAGAGGCCAACAGCACTGACCACAGAACAACAATGGTTGGTGTTCGGTTTTGGCGACCCATCAGACCTTTAAGGAATGGATAGAGATGAAGAATCACCCAGAAGGCAAAGAACACCTTGCCAAAGAGAGGTCCCCATGCTTCATATCCTTTGTTGAGTGCATCAGAGAATCCCGCAACAACACCAACAACGTTGATAATGAGAAGTGTTGTTGGAGGAATTAGAAGTGTTGTCCACTTGACCATATAGAGCTCCCCAAATTCTGTATCATCGGCTGCTTTTGCTGTGACAGTAAAGTTCGTATCAATGCCAGCCAACATTTTCAAGAATCCCTGGAAGACGGCAAAGAGATGGGCCGAAACGCCTCCGATCACCCAGAACTGTTCATTACGCCACAAATCTTCAATGCTGACACCACTCCATCTTAGCTCAAGCACTGCAGTTACAATGATAGAGATAAAGAGGCCAAGAAACAGCATGCTTGCCAGGTTTGAGAGCTGGATCAATGACAAGGTATGATACAAAGTCAATCCCTTTATCGACATGACAACTGGAACAAAACCCAGAAATGATGGATTTGGAAAATTCTGATTTCTAATATTAAATAGAAAAATGTTGACTAGCCTTGTAATACAGAGTGCAATTGCTTGAGAAGCACTGTCTACCTAGCAAAACTTGTTAAATTTTTCCTCTTAATAATTGATAAGTAAAAGCCATGACGTTGCAATCATTTTTCATGTAAGGATGTGAAAAGGAAGACAACAGAAGTTACCGTTGGTATGATGAATTTTCCAGTGAGCAGACAAACTGCAGGAATTGTGCAGTAAGCAATGAGAGGGAGGGATGTAAATGGATAAACAATCGTGTTTACATATGCAAGCCTTTGGAGCCATTTAAGACGGCCTCCTCCATACCCGTACCAGAGGGGACAATGTCTACTAAAGAAAATTTCCACAGATCCAAGAGCCCATCGGAGAACCTGGTGCAATCTATCAGACAGATTGATGGGTGCAGATCCTTTGAATGCTGGCCTTACGGGCATGCAGTATATTGATCTCCATCCTCGGCAGTGCATCTTGTATCCACTTAAGATATCCTCGGTGACTGACCCATATATCCAACCAATCTGAGAGGACACATAAAAAGGTTTAATATTGACAATCTAACTATGTCAAATAGGTTCAAACTGAACAATTTTTATTTCAACAGAGCATAATTCATAATTAAATACTAATGAAATAGAAAAGGTCAAAGAAAGTTCCAACTAAACAACCGAGAATGCATGGTTGAAATGACAGACTAGAGTAGAAAATGTCATGAAAGCCCACATTGGCTCTGGCTTGCTAGTGAAGTAACAAAAGATAATTCAGAAATGATGAGAGTAGACTCTGATTAACCGTACTAAGTATTCGATGAAGAGAATATAAATTCTGTTAAAAGAAATTGTCTTTTCTTGTTAAAAACTGGCTCTGAACTATCGGTTTGGAGTATGGGATGGGAGCTTAACCTCTTTTCCCCATTCAGTCTTCTCTTCAAAGCCACAGCCGATGACATGAATAGCTTCCTTGATGAGTGTTGATGAATTGGCAGACTCAGGTACTCCTCCATTCTCCATTAGTGTAGACTCAATGAAGACAGAAGATAAGCCAAAAGTTTTCTCAAAGCTCAACTGGGAGATCAGCATTGACCTCTCATACTCATCATAATCTGCAAGAGAAAAAACCCCAGCATAACTTGGCGATTCAAATTCTGTTAACCAATCATCTAACCCAACTATCTTACAAAATTTAAACTTACTATCAATCTCTGTAAGATTGAATATGGCAGCATTGAGATCCTCTCGTTTTGCATCTCTGTAAATCTCAGCTGGATCCTGAGCAGGCTTCTTCTTTGTGGGGCAGCAACATGAGAAGCAGGATGAAGACTCCTTGCCCTTGCGTAAGTGGGGCATAGAAGGAGGCCCATATCCGTAAAGTGCTTGCCTATTGAAAACACAACCAGTTCCCACATACATTGGTCCTTGAATGCCATCCAATCCTTTCATGTTAACCTGAAAATAGAATGGAAAGAATTGTCAAAATTCAAAAAGCTCTTATTTATCCATAAACTACCGAAGCAAAGATATTATGGCAATGTTATATTATTTCTACAGTCAGTAAATTATTGGCCAATTTTTCACTTTTCTACACTGAGAAAAACATGTAATACACATCTGTATGTTGATAGGGATTGGGAGTGCAAAAGAACAATGATCAAGAGGATTTGATGAGCCATACATCTAGCTGAACTTCATTATAGATTAAATTCAGATGAGTTTGAACATCATTAATCCTGTCATTTAGAAAGTAGAAATAATTTCGGAACTTGCATATTTGCATGGCCTGAAAAGACCAGCTTCCCATCAGTTAACCAAGCTATTTAAAAACTTTCTTAATAAAAAATTAAAATGAAATGAAATGTTTCTGTTACTCTAGCTTTATTTTACTCGTGAGCAACATAATCTAGATCTCCCTACCACTGTATGCTCGACACTAGAATTAAGATTAAGAGAAGATTAAGTTAGATTTAGTCTTACATCAAAGAAAACTATGTTACGATTGGCGTAGCGATCACTCCTATCTATGCCATCAAATCTCTGAGGGAACTGCACATAGCATACATCTCGACCTACTTGTGGATCCATCAGGATGCACATTGCCTCTCGAACAGCCTTGCTATTGTTTACATAGTGATCACAATCAACATTGAGGATGTAGGGAGCATTTGTGAGAACTGCAGACACTCTCACCTGTACAAAGCCATTCATGAAATTATTAGTCCAACATGAAGTTCTTATGATAATGCTAAGCCTTACCAATCTTAAATTATTTATACACACCAGAGCATTTTCAGCACCAGCTTTCTTGTGGTGTTGGTAGCCAGGTCTCTTCTCCCTGGAAACATATACTAGTCGAGGTAGTTCATTTCCCTCTATGTCACGACCTCCGGTGTTTCCAAGGAATACCTGTCAAGAAAATGACCCCATATGGTTATTGAATCTTCAGACAATATGGACCGTTTTTTATGGAAAAATTCTATAGATGTGTCGAATAGACTGGAGTCTCAGTATCACATGAAAGATCAATATCCAGCTCAGAAAAGAAATTCAAAAATGATGCCAAAGGCTTTTTATTGAAAACCCAAGACCTTAATGTTCTTGAACATTCTGAAATTTTAAGGGTAATTCTAAAATATACTTCAATTATTTCATAAATTCCAAACAAACCACTATCCTCTTTGATTACTAAATGTTTCAGGAATTTTCTATGTTAATTGAAGCTTTATGCCACAGAGTTCTCATATCTTAGCTGTATCTCGAGATGAACTTTGAAAAATTAGGGTAGATCCTCTATCTCTGTGCATGGATGTTTCCAGAGAAGCTGGGGATATTAAAGATTTTGTGTTTATCTCGTATCTTTTAAAGGTTAAATAGCTTTGTTGCACCACCGAGGAATGGAATTTCTACCAATTACTAGGATAAATCTTGCAAGATACAAGAACCAACGAAAATTTCAACCTGAATCATGCCAGGGTGATCACGTGTGTTATTTCCTGGCCAAGGTGTTCCGTCTTGCATAGTCCATCCCTCGTCAGGTGTTTTCTGTGCCTTTGCTACCAGCGCATTAATTCGGACTTTGTACTCCTCATAGTCCCTCTGAAAGAAAATAAAAGGAAATGATAAATGACTTTTAAGCAAAACCAAAAACATAATGGCTTCATCAGAAAGGACTAGTATTTAAGAGTGGTGTAATAAGAGCCCAGAAGTTACTTTCATTGCTCTGCGTTCTTTCACGAAAGAAGGCTGAACCTTATCTTTCAAGTAATCAATTTTCTGTGAGAAGTAAAACTCTGGTGCTCTTGGTTCAATTGAGAATTTTTTGCAGAATGGAACCCACTTCCTTGCAAACTCAGCTGTTTCTACAAGAGATTCAAATGTAAGCATAGCAGCACCATCATCAGACACATAGCAGGAAACTTTATCCACGGGATAGTCCACAGAAAGGATGGAAAGGACTGTATTGGCAGTGATCAATGGCGGTTCTTTCAGTGGATCAACAGTACTCACGAAAAAATCCACGGCAGCAAGCTGAGAAGGCTCACCCTCTCTTTCATACCTGACATGGAATTGAGCACGTCATACCATTTATACTTCGAAAATCAATTATTGCATGGATAGTTCTGTGGTTCTGCGCATTGTATCAGGGCCATTTATATCTTCTGCAATTTTTATGTGCTATTCTTATATTCACTATCATCTCATTATTTTGTTTTTCACTTTGTTATTGAAAGACACAGAAAACTCATCCTACTAACCTTGAAATGAGGAAATGAAAAAACAGTTAGCATAAAGGTAAAACCTAACAGTTTTATTTTTTGTAGAGACTTAGACAGAAGGGAAGGTTGTATGCTTCATACAGCTAATGTTTGCAAGCCAGGTTTAGTGTTAAATCTTCAACTAGAAAAGGGAATGGTGAATCATGCAGATGATAGTGATTATAATGCAGCATAGTGAATATCCAGGTCATTGTGAGTCTGCATCAAATCATAATCTTCAGTTTTAAAGGCTTCACTAACATGAAAATCTTTTGAGTCCCAGACACCGTACCTTGCAGATAGCCTTTCGACAAATGTTTCTCTGTTGACAGGATTCCACTTGGGAAATTGATCCAACACCCAAGAAAACGCAAACCAGATCTCACATATGACAGAAGTAAGCCACAGGCCGAAGGCACTATCAACAGGATTTGTTATTCTGTAGTGGAAGAAAAGGCCCAGAATGATCAGTCGCATAATGATCACAGCTCTGTATGGTGTGAGCTTGTTGCGTGGAATTGGATAAACAATTGAAAGCGGCTCCGAAGCCTCAGCAGACCTGCAAATTGAAAAGGAAACATCAAATGGAAGGACCTTCATCAAGGAAGAAATTTAATATTTATTCCTTGATGTCAACCTTCATCAAGGAAGAACATTAAGGAATAACTGTTGGATCAAACAGTCAACCTCCAACAGTTCATAAAAGCTTCAAGTGACTTACAAGACCTTACAACATGATTAATTTGGAAAGGCTAATCTTTTATTCTTTTCAGTTTAAATACTTCAATCTTATTCTTCTTCTTATGCAGTGTTTCAAAATCATATAAGCCTTTCTGTTGTACTTACGGCTTATCTTCCATCTGCTGTTCTGGCGGAACTTGAGCTGGTTCCGTTTCATGCTTAGTATTAGACCTTTTCTTCTTGCTCTTTTTATCCTTCCAACTCTCCACCCGATTCTTCCAAATGGGATTCCCATATTCATCATTCATTTCTTTACGAAAACATAGAGAGAGAAGAATAGCAACAAAAAAAATATTTAAGAAGAGAATTAAAACAATAAACATGATCTTCAGAAAAATCAAGGTCACTAACCACTATCCACTGTGGAAACGCTACTGATATGTCTAGCATGAATTCCTACATCCTGTACAAACCAAGGTTAATTGAAGAATGATGTCAGAATCCCAGCATTTGAAACATTATATGTAGGCAAGCTTAGAAACTCATCTTTCCAGGAAAAAAAATGCTAGTTCTTCTTGAATTTATTTAGATCTAAAAATCATAAGCCCTCTTATGCATCATTAAATCATTAACATTTTAAAAAGCATAGTCATACCTGAGGATTGTTGAGGTGAGATGCCATTGTAGATTGATTGCCAGACCCCTTCTTTTCTACACCGTCCAGCAAGTTCTCTGGAGATTGCAAGCATAAATTAGCATATAAAATTAAATAAAAAATTTAGTAACAAACTAATAAAAGGGTTTTCAACCATTTGAAGCATACGTGATGAAAGTTTTCAACGGTTGAAAAACTTAACTACACCAGATAGCATAAGAAAGAGAAAATCTTTCTGACACATCGATTTACCAGACCAAAAATCTGCAAAAGGGAACTTCAAGATAGGGCAGTACCATCATATGGTGAGCCACATCGCAAGCAAACTTTCCGCCCCTCCTTGATCTCATACTCGAAACAAGACTTGCACATGTGATAGTTACACTCATGGCAAGCCACAAACAGGTCTCCATTTGCATCATGTCCCACCTGTTCACCACAGGTATGGCATAAAGGAGCCCCAGATTCCATCATTTTGCTGATTGCCACTTCACCGGCTCTTTATCTCCCCAATTCCTCAGTTCTTTCAAGAGGGGTTCCCTCTTCTTCTCAATCTTGTACTTCGGCCTGGTTTTATATCGAAGACCCTAACCAAAGCTAGGGTGTCTTGGTTGTCTCTCAGAGGGTGGTGCTGATATTTTTTAATGCAGAAGAGAGGGTTGAGGTTGGTGGGGCATGGCGGTTGAGGAGTTGGTGTCATGTGTTTACAGAGCGAGAGAGATGAGAAGCAACGTCTAATTTTTGGGGTGAAAGAGAAAAGTTTTGAAAATTTTGCGGGAAGTTTAAGGAAGGTGTCTGTTAGGCAGAGCACATCTTTAACAAACTTACTTTCAATGCAAGTCCCCTCTCTTGAATATAAACACAAGATCCGGGGCTGGGCCGCCATGTCAGCCGAAAACTGGCAGCATCCAAACAGTGTACCGGCGTCTCCCATCGGCATGGTTCAGATTATCATCATATCGATGTATCAGGGCAAGTCTCTCAAGGAAAAGAAAAAATGAAAAATAAAGCACATCTCCTTTTATGTCGCCGAGACCATATATCTGGTTGGTCCGGCAATGGTAGCAGATTTACAATTTATTCTTTGCAACTTCACATCAGTGTTATCCCCAAGAACAGATGATGGGCATCCATTTTCGTAGATCTTAGACCCTTGCTTTTGATGAAGATGCAAATGACTAAAGAATCCATTTTCCTGTTAAATCTACATGGGAAATTGCAACACCAGATGCAAACAGAGCCATTCAACGAACCATAAAAAAGACATAAAAAAATGATTAAAAAAAAAGAGGGCATTTCATGAAAGAATTGAGTGACTTGTTCTTTTTGGTGCCTGACTGAATTTATTCGATGAAAATTAAAATTGGACAATAGCAACATAAGCATTGCTTATTAAGCCATCTTCGAATTATCTGGGGATGGGCGAAGTAAATTTTGGTCGTGATTATTAAACTCATAAATTCCTTTTGATACATTCTTTCTAATTCGATAAAGCACAAGCCAATTCCCATCATGCAGAAACTCAAAGAAACCAGCAAAACTGTAAAGAGACTTGTTGCAGAAATGTAGTCAACGATATCCATTCAGTTCGATAATCATTCTGAGAAATATAACAGCGAAGAAATCCTGTGAACCATAATAATTCCATTTTGTACAGCTGTTCATCAACCTGTGACTCAACTTATACAAGCTTAAAACTCTAAAAATCAAGGGGTTTGCCGGTGTGCCTTGGAAGGGGTGGCTGGTGTATCATGCGCTTTACCTCGGTCAAAATGATGAAACTGTAAAAGGCAGCCCTTGGATAACCAAGCAATTGACGCAACACTGAGACAAACAGGAAACAATCTTCTCCTGCAACAGAATTAAGGCATGCTCTCCAGGAGTCTTTGATGTTTTAGCTGTATACTAAGAAACAGAATAGACCTTTACTACTTTTGTTGTGTCACAAACAACAAGGTTTTCTGAGTCAGTCGGAGTGGTACAGAGCCAGTTGACCTGCCAAAATGGAAAGTATGAGATGAAAAGATTCCAACATGAGTTATACAAAAGAACAAGAAGCTGAAAACCAAGATATTGTGCAAAAGACTATGAAAACTGACCTTTTTGCTCAAATTAATGTTAAGACGAAGAACATCACTGTTGCCACCAGTCTGCACTGCATCATCATATTTGGAGCAATCCCAGACTTTCACAGACTTATCATTCCCACCTGATATTATCAACTTCCCCTTCTCCCCAAACAGTGAAAATGTGACACAGGATACAGCAGCAGCATGGCCGCCCACAGAGTAATCCAAATGTAACCTTTTTCTTGCATTTTCATCAAGAGTTCCTGTACCTGCAGCTGGAACGCCATCTTTAGATGTTGATGAAGATCCTTTCCGTGCTTTTGCGGAAGTTTTTGATCTAATAACTGCAAGCTCTGATTCAATATTTATTACATCAACAATACCATCACCTCTAGCCACAACACATATTTTATCAGATTTATCCAACATATCAACATCTGGAACTGCTATTGCATGAACAAATGCAGGATTCAAACATTGTGCCCCATTGCTACCGTTCTTTATGTCAGGCAAACCTGTATTCAAGAAAAGGTTCTACTGGTAAATCTTACAGGTCAACAGAATAATACAAGCTTAGGGACCATATTTAGACTCTACTTTCTATGAGATCATAAAAGCACCAAAACAAAATATCAGTGATGTTGAATGTTGGAGATGGTGAATCAGTTTATGGTATGTTGTTGGGATAACACACGAATAAATTGAAGGAGGGCTTGCGATCTAAAAGTTAACCTTCCTACAGCCCATCGATGGAAGATAACAAATTTTATAACAGTAAAACCTGTTAAGACATATGAGAAAAGAGATATACATACCAAAATCCACAATTTTGACTGGGCGCCCTTTGGAGAAGTCCCACATGACAAGCTTTGAGTCAAGACCTCCAGTAATGACTGTCAAAATTCGTGTTAATGATTAATATAGTTTGAAAGTTGAAACACAGAGGCTCAATATAAAAGCTAGAATTACATCATTCTTCCCAAAATTCATAAGGCAGTCAAATGCCAAATAAAAGTGAGAGCTAATGGTACTTTCTTTCACATTATAGCTAATTACGCTTCCAACTGTCTAGACAATAATGAATACCAACTCTAAAAACCTTCAGAAAATTTAATGAATACTTCCCTTCAGGAACACCACTCTCCTATGCCTATCAGCATCCATTCACTGACTGGTAATTCACTGAATAATATCACAAATCAACTCAGCAGGTAAGCAGCCCCTTTACATGTTTCTAGAGGCTTCAGATGGAAGGACAAAGTATGTAAGTAACTGTCAGATTACCAACATATGAATGTACATCTAATTTTCGACTTGCTAAAGCACCTAATATCAGATCCCATCATCCATGCAGTCATCAACATTCACAAAAGTGCATGTACGTGTGCTGTGGGTGAGCGTCAGAGAAAGAGATTTTTCAAAACAAAAGAAACAATACCTTCCCAAGATCTCCATGGAATGAATTGCACACTGCTGCAAATCTATAATACAGTCAAGGCATAAGAAAAGGTTCAAGACTTGAATGGAAATTTGGAAAAAGCTTGGACACATTCAGCCTTGACTGCTGACAAGCCTGCAACCATTACAAGAGAGACAACTTGCCACAAACTAATGGGAAAATTACTCAGATATCAATTAACAGAAAAGATTAAAAATTCAGAAGTAAATTCATGTCAAACAAATTCACACAGCTAAAATTTGTTGACAACCATGTATATTTCACACTTGAAAAGAAACTTGAAGCTAATGGAAAGGTAAATTCCAAATAACAAGGAAGGATACACTTGAATGGCCAGATCTCAGAGTTTTATAAAGGCAATGCTGGCGAATGTCAATAATCTGCCAGAAATATATCATTATTAGCATTTAAACCTTCAAAACTGCAGAGCAACAGGGAAAAGAAATCTTAAATGAGTGTGGGTGGAGGCAAGGAGAGTGATGGGGGCAGATTCTTGAAGAGCACTGCAAACAGATAGTTCAGCTAATTTGATTTAAGTAAATGCAAGAGGGTTGACTATCTAAAATTCTAAAAAGATGCATGGCACTCAATAATATAGGCCACGAGAACTAGAATAAAAATAATTTTAAAAATAATAACAAAAATTTGAAATCATATAATCTTCAGTTCAATAACTAGTCAAAAGATGCCCAGAAACAGAAACCATCATGCTCTTTTTTTCTGTGAACTACCTGTCACAAGATTATCTCTAAAAAGAAAAAAGAGAAAAGAAAGCATCTACTATCAACCAAAGCAAGTACCATATCTCTCTTCAGTTCTTCAATGCATCTATTGATTCATGGTTCTGTATCCTACAAATTCTCATTGAAGGGAGAAAATCAAACAAGACATTTTGGCATAACCATAATAAATGGAACTAGAAAATTATTCCACTCCTTGCTCAGAAAAAGACACTCAATTGTAGCAGTAAGGCACATCAGTTGGCAAGCTGGCGTGAACCAACTAATGCGAAGCTTTCCTCTCCATAAAGTCTGGCCATTATTATTCCATTAAAAACTACCATGGAGGCTTATTCAGACATGATAGGTAAAAAAGAATGTGTTCCTCGACTCTGCATTTGTACTTGCTCTCTAGTCAAGACTATGAAGATTCTTCTCCAACAATTACTACAATATTAATTACATGCCCTAGGAGACAGGATATAAGTTTATGAACATGCCAAGATCTGACACAATCTCCAAGAAGTAAGACAGAACAGTTATAAATGCATGTTCCATGAACAGAAAGTGTAACTGATGAACTAAGAAACATACAAGACCTTAACATCGCCACCATCATCTGTACAAGCAAGAAAAGCTGCCTTAGAGTTGCATGAAATCTGCATTGATTAGATACAAGCTCATTGTTAAACAGCTTCACAGCCATCAATTGCATAAAGATCTAATATATCTAGCAGGATATTAACAGCACAATACTAAATTCTCAGTCTTTTAAGGAACTTGAAGATTCTCTAGCAAAACAATTAACATTGCATAATGAAGCTTCAGTTCAAATATCAAACTAGACGCAAATCAGGAGGGCATCCACCAGTCCAAAACATTTTGCAGTAGCTTGAGATTATCCATTCTGGTTTCTACAACTATTTGTTTTGGAGAATGGGTAAATAGTACATGGAATAATTAACATTAACATCATCATTTAAGGTACACTGACTTTTGTTTTTAAATGTTTCAGGTTACTAATGTTAGCAGAAGTCTCTATTTCTTTCCCACATAGTGATCATGGGTCCAAACTATAGAGAAATCAACAATGATGCTTTTGAGGTAACTCGAAAAGGGTTGATAATTTTCGCATAAAATGTTAACTTCAGCACAGAACAAAAGGACTAGCTTCATCATCATTCCATGAAACAAAATAACGCATCAAATCATAAGATGATTAACTTTACAATAATAGTTCACCTGATTTATTTCCTCCTTGTTATAGGAATAGCTCTTGAATGGCGTCCACGGACTAGCCTTCAAATACAAATACAAAAAAAAATATATATATATATATATATATTTATCTCCAAAACTCATAATCAACATTTAGAGGAAAAGAAACAATGAAGCTGCTTACCATATTATGCAAATCAAAACACTTTACTGCATTTCCACTGGAAACATACATGATATCTTCATTCCCTGCCTCATCATCATACCAACATTATTCAATTTTCAACTTTATTTTTCACTAATGATAACTCTGCATAGCATTGGGAGCTTACCAGGCTTGAAAGACAAGGAAGAAATAGGTTCCTGTGCAACTTCAGCAATATGCTGTGCGTCTTTGCATCGCATATCAAACAAGCAGACGCAACCATCCTCCCCGGCGGTGGCGACGACACCAGAACGGTCACGTGAGGCGATGCAACAAGTGGCAGTGGCTTTGTGACCTCTCAATCTTCTTGGCTCTGTCATGAATCTCTATCTCTCTCTCTCTCCCCTTCTCTAACCTCTTCTCCTTTATTTTTTGTCGCCAAGGGTCATTTATGTGCTGTGCGGTGCTGCTTTGCTTTAGCTCCGCCTGGTTACGAGTGAATCCGGGTCAGGAGATGTTTACCGAATAATTTACCAACAATGAACCGGGTTTTCGATCTGTCCTCAAACTCAGACTTAAGAAGTTTGGGCTTATTGTGAGACCCAGTCTGGCCCCATATGGGATTCGGACTTGCGGCTTGTTTTCGCTTAATTGCGTTCTTATATAGAATATACCTTTCGGTCAAACTCTGGGTTTTTTTTTATTATTATTATATCAGTTATTATCCAAATTAATTTATCTTTAATATAGGTGATCAAAAAATACTGACTTGTCATTTGTTTAAAAAAAAAAATGGAGCGGATAACGTTATTTTATTTTTAAAAACAAATTCAGCCGAGTATTTGGGCCTATGCTTAGAGTGCTATTTGGATCCATAGATAGGCCCAATAGCATCTCACCTCTTTTTAGTAGTTTTTTCATTTAAATCTTATTTAATACATTCTTTCTCATTTATTTATTTAATTATTTTACTTTACTTTATCTTTTATGTTATTTTAATTAATACCCTCTGTTATTTTTTTTTTGAATTGTTTAGTTAATTTTTTTAAACAGTAATGAATATTTTAATGATTTTTTATTTCATAGTACTTCAATTATTGTAATTTGTCTTTAATTTTTCTCCTTTTATATTTTATATAAATAAATTTTATTTACATGAAGTATTTATTCAAATAAAATTATTTTTTCTTCGCAACCAAAATTAACCTCTGAAAAAAATATAAAAATGTATAAAATAAAAGGACAATTGGGGTTAAATATTTGCATAAATATCTATCTTTTAATTTTATTAGAAAGATTGTCCTTTTATTTTAGTATTTACCTTTAAGAGAATATAAATAAAATAAAAAGGATAATTGATATTAAATATTTTCATATATTTTTATCTTTTATTTATATCAAAAAAATCATCTTTTCATTTTAGTATTTAATTAGCATTAATGTTTTTTTATTTATTAATTAATTTATATTTTTAATTTATTTTGTTAGATGTAAACAATATATATTCATTACTTCTCCTCTTACGTTCAAGATTAAAGCAAAGTCCTGCCTGCATTGTAACACGATTTACAAGACGAGTACTTGTTAGAATATATCACAACTCAACATCCTTTATATTGGATTGAATTTTAAGAATATCTTCTGATTAAAGAAAGCAATAATAGCTCCTTAATTAAATTTAAATTCATAATCAATTCGGATATATTATGGTATTAAACTTTCATGTCCCGTTAATCGCTAACCTCGACATGTGTATGTGAAGGGAAAAGGGCATTATTTAAGAGGAAAATTAAATTTAGTATCTCACGTATATATTGCCTAAACACTCTAAAGGAACTAAGGTTATTTATGTTGTTTTATTATTTTTTTAATCAAATTTACTTACTTTTTTATTTTGACATGGTTCCCAGAAAGCTATTATGAATTTTTATTTGAATTTTAATATTTTTTCAATTATTATATATTTAATTTAAAAATAATAATGCTAATAATAAATTGTTGATGAAAATTTGATAGAAGTTATTTTTTTATTATTTAAATCTTTAAATAGATTTTAAATATGATTTTATTATATTTATAATTATTTTTAACTTTCAATCACATAAAATAGAGAGATATTATTACTTTGATATTTTATGCAAACTTCATTTGACAAATATAGAATGTTCTTCTTCTTATTATTTTTTTAACATAAACAATCATTCAAGTTGAAAATATTGTAGGAAAATCTATTTTTATGAAAAAACAAAACTTAAAACAATTGTATTTTTAAATTTAATAACAATGCTAAATAACTTTCTAAGTTCTTGAATTTTTTTTATGTTTGAAAAAATTTGAATCCTCCAATGCGAGCATACAATTAGTTCATTTTAAAATAAAATTCAAACATGTAAATTTTATCATTTTAATCTTGAATGTTTTAAAAATCTTTTTAATCTAGCTTCTTCTTCTTCTTCTTCTTCTTCTATTAAAGTTCATCAATTTTTTCTTTAAATTTTTATTGAAATGATATTATTTTAATATATAAAATATATATATTAGACTGAAAATATTAATGTTGATTAATTTTTTTGTCAAAAATTTCAAATAAAATTGTTTTTATTGTATGAAATATGCACATTAAACTTAAAATATTAAAAAAGAAATGAAGGACCTATTTACGAATGTTGGAAACGTTCATAATATAACTAATAAAATTTATAGATTTGAGATGTAATTGAGAATTAATATATAGATTTAGTTGAGAGTAGTTTGGTGTCCCAGTTCTGCTATGGTATAGACTCGAGATGTTAGTAATATTTGTGTGAGCATATTTATTTTAACAATATATGTAAATTTATAATATATCAAGTTGATTCGGTGAAAACTCCACCTCACTAAAACACATTTAAGATAATATTCTAGACTGCTTGTTTTTTACTTTTAAGAGAAATTAAGCAACAATATATTTTTAACATCATAAAAAAGATTAAGATTGTGGGGAAACTTTTTAATAATATTATTAAATTTATTCTAATGAGTTAATTTTAAAATCTTCAACTTTTATTTTTTATCTAAATAAGGTTTTAAATTAAATGAATAAAGGTTGTCTTTACATGACATTGACTAGCTTGATTAATAAAAAACAATTCATAAAAATATTTTTTAATTTTAAAATATTAAAATAACAATATATTTAATAGACTATAGTTATTCTGTTAAATTTACTATTTTATAAATAAGATGATAAAATAATTTTTAATATAAATAAAATATACATTATGTAAAATTGTGTATGGATGCACAGTAAAAGAAACATTGGATTACCTAGCTTTTTTTTACTTTTTTTTTTTGTTAATTTAATTTGTATTGTTGTTGTCATTGAGTGAAACTTTTGCATGTGACCTTGATTCGGATAGACTTGAAAAAAAAAAAAAAGAAAAAAAAAAGAGAGAGGCTAAATGCTTGCTTTTTCGAAAGTGGTACCTTGAGATTTGATTTAATCGAGAAAAAGGTACTATCTCTTTTGACTTTTCGAATCATGTTTCCAAGTCCAAGGAAGATCACAGTTGAATTAGAGAGGCCGTGCATAATCATGTCTTAACGAGTAACGGTAACTCATCTAAGTTATTCTTTTTGTTTTTATATTTAAAAAATATTTTTATAAAAAATTAAATTTTTATTTATTTTTTACTTTAAATTAATATTTTTTTAATATTTTTAAATCATTCTATAATATATTGATATAAAAAATAATTTTAAAAAATAAAAAAATATTATTTTAATATATTTTTCAATAAAAAATAATTTAAAAAACAACCTTAGAGAATGATTGATATTATTAGAAATAATAATTTTTTAAAGATTTTTTTTATTTTTTTAAAATTATTTTTGATTGATATTATTAAAAATAATAATTTTTTAAAGATTTTTTTATTTTTTTAAAATTATTTTTACAATCAAAACAATTTAAAAATATTAAAAAATAATTTAAAATAAAAAATTAAATTTTCATAAAAAAACAGATTAAAATTCACTGCCAAAGCAGTTTTTTAATAACATATAGATGCCATTTGCTTTGGCAAATGAGAAATTTTGAGTTAAGTGTTTTTCCTGATTCTGATTAGAATGGGAAGAGACTGTGCAGATGAGAATTTTGGTCATAGCAGGAAGTTTCGGAGATGCTTCGACAAGCATGTCACGGGACCAGTGAAAACAACGTTTGAAACTTCACAAAGATCCGAAAGTTCATAGGCATCCATCAACTTGTCTTCTTGTCCTTCTCATATTAATTAGCTAAAAAAAATCATTACATCATATAATTCAAAATGCGAGTCACCATTAATTATTTTTTATTAAAAATTACAAAATAATTTTTTCAACTTGAACCAATTGAGTTTAGATGCTTCTGATTAGGTTAATTAAATTGAAATAATCAGTTAGATTAATTGAGTTTTATCAAAAAAAAATTATAGTTTAAATTGAAACTTGACTTATATCAACTTTAAATAATAGTTTTTTTAAAATTAATCTAGCAAATTAAATAAGTTGGATTTAATAACTTCATTGTTTTTATATTTTACCTTTATTCTTTCACAAATTATAATTTACATTACAAGTCAAAGTAATTTTTAAATTTTAATGAAAAAACAAATCTATCTTCATGTATAACATGAAATATTTATCTCGAGACATAATATTTCTCTTTTCTTGTGATGAACACAATTTAAATCACGACCCACTTTGGTAATGATGTAAGGTCCTAACCATTTAGGTGGTGGCCAAGTGGTAAAAATTTGGGATTAAGGGGTTTGCTCCCTCTATAGTCTCAGGTTCGAGTCCTTGGTTGCTCATATGATGGCCACTGGAGGCTTACATGGTCGTTAACTTCAGGGCCTGTGGGATTAGTCGTGGTGCGCGCAAGCTGACCCGGACACCCATGTTAATCTAAAAAAAAATGATGTAAGGTCCTTACTTAAAAAAATCATAAGAAATAAAGAAAATATATCTGTCAGTTATACTTTATAAAATAAAAATTACCTCCACTTGAAAAAGAGATACAAGTATAAAATAATGATTCTCCGAAACCACTCTCGTTAGACATGTATAAAAAAAAAATATTTTTTAAATATTTTTAAATATCCTATTTATAATTTTATCAAAACTCAATTCATCTTAAACCTGATATACTTGGATCGGAACTTAACATAGTGTTATTCCTTACCTCCCCTCTGAACATTAACAATTCATTTTGTACTTGAGGTTGTAATATAGTAGTTAGGAAAGAGATTTGTTTTTTCTAAAAAAATATTTAAATTTGATTATTTATGGATGTACTTATCATCCATACAGTGTTTTATTTGTCTATTAAATTTATAAGATATTTAATAAATTTAAAAATTAATTATAATATATATAAACTGATTTGAACACTTTATATTATAAAAAAAACAAAAAAAACAAGTAATAATAATGTTGAAAAAACAAGATAAAAGAAAACCCGTGTACGAATTGAAAATGTTTTTGCTATAGATCTGGATTCTAGCGGAGAGAGCGCGCGTAAA